CCCGCGCTCACCTCTTGTCCATAGTCCAGCCGAAGAACACAATAACGGCCGTGAAAGCCTTGTCTTTCTTCTCCCAAAGGGGGCGGGGCTCTGGCGTCTCTACACTGGTCGTAGTTACCCACAAACTGGAAACGCCCCCTTGTGAGGGAGGGGCCGGGCTTACCCCACGCGTCAAGCACTGGGGAAAAGATAGAGTCACTCATGACAGAAATACATTATTATTCAATATTATCGTACTATACACAAATATATGGCCATATTTTGTATTGTTCAAAGATTTTGTTTGTTTAGTATAGGGTTTTACGGCGCTCGCAACTGCATAAGGTTATAATATTATGAGCTCGCGAAACACAAGTTGGTAGCATTCGCAACAGTTCACTGTACGGTTGGTCGACAATTAGATTTTAAAATGCTAAAATATTAAATTCGGTGTAAAACAACTCTTATAAATAACAATAAAAAATGTTAAACAATATTGTTTCACTTCCAACAGCATTCTTACTCTTTGCGCCATCGGGGAGAGATCACAATTTTGGCTTTGGCCTCAGATGTAGGCTATACACATTGGTATGTGAGCATTAATGTTGATACGTAGCAGTGAAAACCTTAGAGTTGGAAAATACAGTGAAACTGTAGTGTAAGATGCCACTTATATATTTATTCGAACAACAGTGTTGCCTCTAAACCTTTAGAAATTATCGTGTTATGGCATCGGCTGTGTCAGAGAATCAAGGGAAACGACAGACAAATATTGGGTCGGAACAGAGATATTTTTCTTTTTTCGGCCGTTGTCCTAGAGCAGATCTAGATCTATGGTTATTTTGACGTGAATTTGAAATTTGAGAAAATTTGAAATCGACAGATTGAGAATGAGAAACACGTTGAGCAACGCTTTCGAGTTCGGTCGGTAATGAGCTTACCGGTAACAAGACAGTTTAATTGCGCGGGTCAATGTTAGCAGTCTTTAGTCTGTACCGACTTCATCTAACGAACGGTGCATTTTTTCCAAACATTTTCACAACACAAACTATTTGATAAGATAAGCAAAACAGTATGAGTAATCAACAACTCGACGACAAAACAAGGCAGCCCTACCACGGACGTCCCTCCAACTAATACTGAGTGCTCCATTGTGGATGAGATCGGTGTGTTGGGCCGATCGCCCGACTGGGTTGCCTAAAAAACAAACGTGTTCAGTTTCAGACCACCGATCGGGTGTTTGTTTTCAGTTTAAGGCGACCCAGTCAGTCGGGGCGATCTCCGACCCAGCCGTAATGGGCACCCTGTATAAGCGCGCAGTCATTTACATAGAGGGGTGGGGCGGCCTATCGTGTGATGCACAACCCCCAAGGTGGTTGACAACCCCTCATCTCGCCCGCTCCACACAAGCCTAACTACAGCACGCGCAGTTTCTGGGCACGCGCAATGATTTTAAATACGTCTGACTGCCCCATGTTCTTTATGATAGTGCAGTCAGAAATTTGAGGCAAAACTTATACTCAAATATCTCTTAGGCTGGCCATCTCTTCTTAAAGGGTGAAACCCCCCGGGCTGTGCCACTGGCTGTAGTGTCTTTAGACCATTCCCAAAGGGGGGACATTTCTCGTTCATGCACAGTAGAATTGTTAATGGACTGATTCATCATGTCACGCTCATAACTGTGCCTGATCTACAACAGGGAACTGCTGCTTTTTCTTTCATAATGCTTACTATTGTCATTTTCCTCTACTTCTTGTGTATGTATGTCACACTCTTGTGAATTTATATGAAACACTATGGGGCCAACAAGTCACTGGACAGCTCATGCTATCGTAAGGCCGGTCCCAGAGTGGCTCTGTAGGTGTGACCTGTAGCTCGCCTGGCTTGCACCGTGCAAATGAATGTATACATTATCGTGTGTTTAAGCAGCGTTGCTGTGTCGTCTGTTTTTTGTCAGCTGAGCTGCGCGATGCGTCAGACCTGCTATTCAACAGTGTTGTAAAAATGGCGGACATGTGTCGCCTCGCTTCGTGTTTATTTTCGACTGAAACTCTTCACAGATATTGAAAATCAACAAGAAGTAAGTTTTATTAGGTGCTTTACTATTAATATTGATGCTAGCATCAACACTTCGCCACAAAATCATCCAGAAATGCACTTTATCATATTTTGAAACTTCGAATCGAGAGGTTGACCTAGTTTCGACTGTTGTCGTAGGCCTAGGCCTAGGCCTAGATCTACGTGTGCTTCTCTAGATTCTAGATCTAGATCTAGTCTTGCATTATAACCAATGTAAACTATCGCCGCGCGCAGCTGCAAGTGTGTTTGTGTGTGTGTGTAAGGGGGGGGGGGCTGCATTTGACGTAAAGAAGAATCTTGGTATAACTGGTCTTGGATTACACAGTACCTAAATATAGCAAGGCACACCTACTCACGTCAACACAGTGCGGCTGTGCTGAGACGCAGCGAGTGTGCCTCGCGCTCGCTGAGACACAGGCGCCAACCCACAGTGCGGCTGTGCTGACACGCACACGGCGTGCGCCAGGCCAGCTACTGCAGGTCAGACCTACAGAGCCACTCTGGGACCGGCCACTGCGTGTGTTGTGTGAGCTCATTACTACGCAGAGCAACGCGCACCTGTCACTGACCTCGATTCTCCGACAATGCACAAAGGCCGAAGAAGGATAACAATTTATAGAAATTTATTGCACCGTCTCGGTATTTAAGGTCTCTGAACGTGTCTACTGTCTCTGCACGTGTCGAGCAGCGCGCTAAAAAATTAAATAGCAAAACTGGACCTAGCCAGAGACCGTAAATACCGAGACGGTGCAATCCTTCTTCGGCCCTTGTGCGCTCTCGGAGAATCGAGGTCAGCGACTGCGCGCGCTGCTCCACGCTTAGGCTCGGGCCACACTGCAAGCAGAGCGGGCACAGCAGAGCGCAGCAGTGAAAATTATTACAAAGACAAAGCGCGCTCATATGACCTTAGCAGTTGCGAGCGCCGTAAAACCTTATACTATACATACATACAAAGACAAAGAGGCGACTAGCTGCGCGACTCGGGGCGGGTCACGCAGCCAGTCGCCTCTTTGTCTTTGTAATAATTTTCACTGCTGCGCTCTGCTGTGCCCGCTCTACTTGCTCTGTGGCCAGAGCCTTAGGCTAATGAGCTCACACAACACACGCAGTGGTACTATAACACGAGCTGTGGGCTGACCAGTTGGCCCCATTTTAGTATTTTATATAAATTCAAGAAGATACGTTTTTAAATCTAGCCTCAATTAATTGTTGTGGAAAATATGAATACGTTAAGATAAATTGATACTGATACCAACTGCTGTGCAAAGTTTAGGTTACATTGATTCACTCGGTAAAGATATATCAACTGTGATCTGATGAAATGCATTTTTTTGTTCCATCTCGGGAAGGAAAAAATGCGTTTTGCCAGATCACAGGTGATGTGAACGGTCGATACGCAAGTAAAATATGCGTTTTGTCAGATCACCTCCGAAAAAAATGTGTTTCATCTGATCACATTGGAAATAAATGCGTTTTAACAAATCTAAAAAGCTAGTTTATTTAAAAACTAGTCGCACTTAGACTTTCATAATTATATCTCTAGTTGGCTTTGGACATGTAGAATTCATTAGTGGAATAAACATTTTTCGCGCCAAAATGAAAAAATGCGTTTTGTCAGATCACGGCAGATATTTGAGTACAAGTTGCGCCATGAATTTTTGAATGCACTGTAGATTATCGTGCAGTCTGACGCTAATTAATACACTGACTCATAGTCCGCTATGTTGCATTTGCAGGAATCACCTTTGTTTTCTGTTACGTTTGGCTCCTGGAGCATTTTCAACTTTAGATTCTGTCCACTGTGCACTCTGTTCATCAAAGGTTTAAAATGCGTTTAAAAAAACCCAGCTTCAAACAAACCAACAAATTCCACAAGTTTAAAACTGGCTTTTTCAAGCCACCGTGACGACAATGTTCTAACTGTTTCTGGCTGATGAGTGTCAGGTGCCCTGCATAGGAAGATGAGGTATCTTCCAATATCCCGGTGTAACAGTCCTTGAGGACTACATCGTAAGGTTTCTACAAAGTGTATCCACTTATATCAGAAATTTCATTTTTAAAGTGCATTGCATCTTTAATGTATAGCAAAATTTAACAAAATTAACAATGTGTCTGTGTTCTTTATCAAGGTCTACCGGAATTGCAACTTTTGTTTGGCTGAAATTCTTAATCGTTAGATTTTGATTTGTCAAAAAGCTATCCACTACATCCCTGCAACTGCTTGAAGGCAATGCGGTCATAATTTTGTCGGCCATTATCTGTCCCTTCAAACGAAAATACAACTGTTGTGGGGGAGGGGGGGGGGGTCTGGATTGTCAAGATATGTCCTCCTTTTCCTCTCATGGTGACTGAGAACAGATGTTCAATTTCATCTTGATATCACTCTAAGTTACTCTAAGTACATGTAATCCCCCATTAACAGCCCACAATGTCTGCCACAAGACCTTGCAAAGCAGTGATGTTGTGGATCCACTCACTGACTCATAGTAATGCTTTTGCAACTTTCTTTTTGGCTTCTGGGCCAAACTTCATGAATTATCTTCCAACCACAGAAGTGTCTGCTGCAAAAATTCATGGTGCTGTGATCTAGTTGTGACTGGGTTACGATATTCGACAGAAAATGACACAAGTGACCAATTGAAAACGGTGAAAAGATCATCAAAGCCATTACAGAAATAAGATGTAGCGATGTCAGACAAAGGATTAATTCCAAGATACATAATATATTGTCCCAATTTAATTGCTTTTGATACACTGCGACTAAGCACGTGCACAGCCAAACAAACCCTCTGTCGTCCAAAACTGAATAAACCTAAGGCACTGTCTTTTTCATAGAAATTTTCAATAGCTGCCATGCTCGCAGTATCATCATGATGAGTAGGCCCACAGAAATTGTGGTAGATCAACAAATTGTTTCTAATTCTTAATTAAGTGTGGAGGATGAAAGAAGACTGTGATTTTATCACCCTCGTGACGAAAAAAAAGAAGGTTTTTCTGGGGTGAGACTTAGTTTAGTGTTCTAAAACCGTCTGGTTGTATGGGCCTTGGTCACACGCAAGCCTTCACCTTCAAACCAACATAATTTAAAGTTTTTAATGGCCTCTAACAATGGAACACGAGCATGCACCAGATGCGCGTTGATAAGGAAGCAGGTCAGCGGTTGACCGTCGGCTGACGCGCAGACATTCCCCTCGGGAGTTTCGTGAGCTCATACGCTTTTCGCCGCATTGCTTTATCATGGTATTTATAATCATTGGACCTAGCTGCTTCTGTTGGGAAAAAAGGGGGTATTAGTGCAATGAAAATGTACTTGAAAATCTGTTCAGTTATCAGAGAAAAAGGGGGACATCATGACAATCCAAACCCCCAGCAATCCCGTTTTCGTTTGAGACAGATAATTGTCGACAAAAAAATTTAATGATTTCATTGCCTCCAAACAATTGCAGGGATGATGTGGATAGCTTTTTGATAAATCTAAATAGTAAGAACAGTCAAACCAATTGCGATTTTGGCAGACCTTGATAATGAACACAGACACATTGTTAATATAGTTAAATCTTGCAATATTAAAGATGTAATGCACTTAAAAAATGCAATTTCCTACATGGGTGGACACATTACTTTTTTGAAGGAACTTTACGATGCAGTATGCAAGGATAGCATGAGGGAAAATAGAAGACTCCTCATCTTCTCATGCAAGGCACCTGACACTCATCAGCCAAAAACAGTTTGAACATTGTTGTCACGGGTGGCTTGAAAAAGCCCAGTTTTAAATTTTTGGAAGTTGTTGGTTTGTTTGAGGCTTTTCAAAAAACAAAAAAGTTTTAAACTTTTGATGAACAGAGCACACATTAACATTAGACAGAATCTAAAATTGAAGATACTCCAGGAGCCAAACGTTATTGAAATCAAAGGTGATTCCTGTAAATGCTAGACAGTGGATTATAATGCGGTCAATGTACATTGCATTTCTAAGCGTCAGACTGCACGACTAACATATTCTTCTACCAGAAATAAAACCATTCAGCCCTGCAGGTGTAAAAAGCACAGACAGTTAATAAAGTTTCTCACCAATAGCTTTTCATGCTACAATAAGTGATGATATCTTTGGCCGTGCCTGATTTTGACAGGCCTCTTGGTATGCTGTAAACATTATATTTGCTTGTCTTGAAACATGTCGTGTTATTATTTGTTTGTTATTAAATTTTTTCTGTTTCTTGTTGTTTGTTTTTTTGGGGTTTTTTTGGTTGTTTTTTTTTTTTTCTTGGGGGGGGGGTTGCTTGTTGTTCTGTTAACACTGCGGTTTTTATGTCATTCTGTGCACACTATAAGCCTAATTAAGTTATGACAAATGTGGCACTGGCTTTCAGTTTTGTTGTAAGTTAATGATCTTTGCCTGAAGTCCTGATAATTATTCTTTTCAATCCAGTTACTAGATTCTACTACTACTACAGAAAATGGCATTTTTGCCTGACAAATAATAATATAGGCTATAAAAATGTTTGAGTTGGTCTGCTAGTTACTGAGTATAAAAGGCCCAAAGAGTAATAATACCACGCTGACTCGTCACCGCACAGCTCGCTTTATTGTGACGACAGTGTGTGTGTAGTGTGTACTGTGTTGTGTTGTGTGGGCTCCTTGCTGAGCAGAGCAAGTGCCCTCATCACTAACCTCGATTCTCCGATAACGCACAAAGGCCAAAGAACGATTGCACTTTAATTTAATAAAAACGGTCTCTGCTCTGGGCGCGCGTGTCGAACAGCGCGCTAAAAATAGCAAAACTAGACCATAGCTGCTTCTGTTGGAGGGGGAAAAAAGGGGGGGGGGGGGGAATAGGCATTTTACCGACCGCACTTTTTTTCACTTTTATTATCATTATAAGATAAGATAAGATAAGATAAAATAGTACTTTATTATCCCAGAGGGATTCATTAAAATTTTTTAATGATATATATTACTCTCATTAAAATTCAATATGAAAGGAAAAGTAAAGCTGACAAAATGTACATTTATATCAAATGCATCATTCAACCACATGCATGAATTTAAATACTAGACGTTTGGACTTATATACAGATACATACTCTAAGAGCAACACACATCTATGCTCATTCTGACAAAAGCCTTATGCTAGATGGTCAAAAACTTCTTTTATATCTTTCTTTCTTTGTTTCAGGAGGTACATATCTGCCTCTGCGTGATCTTACAATTTGTGTGGAAAAGGGGTGTGATGGTTCGTTTATAATGCTTTTTATCTTTTTTATACGTGTGGTGTTATACATTTCATCCATTCTTATAAAATCATATCCAGAGATTTTGCTGCCTTTCTTAATGGTTCTGTCAAATTTTTCTTTATCTTTCACCTTACAATTCCCACCCCAGCAGCAAATACAAAATTATTATAACATGTATTTTGTCTCGTGTTCACCTCAAAAGGTAATTGACTTTAGAACTCTACGGCGGCGTAACTAGTTCGATTATTCCATGTTTGTGTTTGAGCTTCGCGTAACTTTCTTAGAAAGAAAAAGAAGGGGAAAAAAACAAAAACAAAAAAACGAAACGGGACCACAGGCAGGGTTGAGTTCGACACATGCGCGATTTCGAGAAATCTGTGTTCGACCTTTCCGGGCTGTATTGTAAATCAAACTGTATTTTAAGATGTCACTTATGTCTTTAATTGAACAATAACGTTATGTCTAAACCTTTAGAAATAATTGATTTGTGCGATTGTGGACTGCCGCTGGTGATAGAAAAGTAACGAGAAGGATTTAACAAGTAGTAAGCCAACTTACTTTCAATCGCCCATGACTCTTCGTCGATAAATGCTTGAACGGTTCGGGCCACATCCTGGAAACAAACCGAAGAAGCTTTTCTCAAAACGTCTCTCCTGGCTTTCTCCTCTGTTCCATTGTTAGAGCTGAATCCTGTGTCAGTTGTTGTATCATCACCTAACGCATCTTTTATCTTCACAAAGTTTTCTCTACCTTTTATTGACTCGCGTGTCTCGGAACTACGTACCCCTCGACTTGTTTGTTGGCTACCAACGTGATCAATATCTTGATTCAGTTGTCCATTTTCCTTTCGCTCCTTCTCGGCATTATCTATAAAACTGACGAAATCTGAAAAGTGAAATTTATCTACAGCCGAAAGGAAACTCGTAAACAGGTTGTTGTGGTAATCAGGACGTTGTTTGAGATCTCCCAGACACCGTAGTCTTGACAAGACCTCGGTGTACAGGTTATTGTTCCTTTTGGCTTTTTGTTCTTTGTGGTGCTTGTTTTCGCACACGGCGTTTTCTCCGTCCCCGTGAACTTGCACAGCTAGAACGAAAGAACTCAGAAAAAGAACAACCAAGAGCTTCAGCACAAAGAACATGATGAATAAATTCTCCTCACTTTCAAAATGAACTTCTGTGACCAAAACTGAGTGGGCTCCAACATGGACCGGCTTTTATACTTTTTCACACCTAAAGTTCCATTAAATGCTATGAGCTTGACCTTGAGTCAAGTTCCGGTCCTTTAGGAAAACATAATACATGTATGTAGGCGTGATAAGACGCGTCGTTGCTCTCGTGCACAAACTTTCTAAGCGACAAAGAGTTCAACATTTACTTTTTTGGCTTATATAAGTTTCTGTATAACATACAGTAGGCTATGTCCTTAGCCGAAGGTACAAAGAATTTAGAAACCATAGGACTACATGCACTTTACATGTACTTCCCACACACTTTACTGTAAACTCTCTGGTGAAACTGGCAACTGGAGGGCTGACTAGTAAATGGCAGCCTCGCGTGTGATTGTGGCGAGGAACGCAACGCACGCACGCAGAGCAAACGGCA